GCAATGTTCCATAGGATCGGTCCCAGCACCGAGCCCTGCGGGACTCCGCGTTCGATAGGTCGCCTTTCTTCTCCCTCCTTGCTGCTGTAGCAAATCCACCTGTCGTCGAGGTAGGTCCGGATCAGCCGGACGAGGTAGCTGGGAACCTCGAAGTGCTCCAGGGCCGTCAGTATCCTGTCCCGCGGCATGGAGTTAAACGCGTTGACGATGTCCAGGGAAACCGCCAGCGCCACGTCGTTCCGGGAAACTCTGTCCTCTGTCAGTGTCCGCACGCGTCTGACCGCGTCGATCGTCGAGCGTCCCTTCCGGAAGCCGTACTGGCTTTCGTGCCAACCTGGCACCTGGCCCGCTATGTGTCGCTCCAAGCGAGTGGCAACTACCCTCTCCAGCAGTTTGCCGACCTCGTCTAGCAGGCATATCGGCCGGTACGCTGACGGCGAGGTCGTCGGTCGGCCCTCTTTACGGAGCAAGACCAGCCTCGCCGTCCGCCATGCCCGGGTGTAGGCTCCCTCTTTCAGGCATCTTGTGTAGAGGCGCCGAAGTCTGGGGGCCATGACTCCCATCACTTCCCCCCAGATCCGACCCGAGATTCCGTCCGGGCCCGGCGCCACGTCGCATAAGGCCATTCTTCTGGTCGTCTCCCATATCTCTTCCTCTGTGACTTCCCAGTCATCTCTCCATTCCAACGTCCGTATCGTTTTCCGCGACCATTCTGCCGCCCTGTCTTCTTGCGGGGGAAAAGCGTCGCGATGATCCGCAGCAGCAGCGCAGGTTCCATATCCATCGTTGCCAGGGGGCCCTTCGCGCGAAGTTTCCGCGTCACCGTCCTATATGGCCTTCCCCATGGGTCGGCCTCGACTGTTTCGATTAGTTCGGACCAGGCACGGTCCTTCGCGTTTTTAATCTCTTGCAGCGAGCGCCGTAGCACACGGTACGCCCGGTAGCGCAAGGAGACTTCTTCTTCGTCACGTCGTCGCCAGCTGCGGGCCCTTAGGTACTGTCTTCGGGCCCGGATGCATCTCGTCCTCAGCTCCGCGATGTCAGGGTTCCAGTAGACTGCCCTGCCTCGCACCGTACCTAGTGTGGCGCGTGGCATGGATGCGTCGCAGATTGCTGCCATGGCTCGGCGTAGGTTCTCGGCCTTCTCTACCACGTCTGTTTCGTTCGTCGTCGTCGAGGCCTCCCAGCTCCAAGCTGTTGCTAGGCAGCCGCCCAGAGTAGATCCCCGTTCACCTCCTTGACCTTCCATCTTGGCGGTGGGCGCGCGCGTCCTTTCCTCGGCGGCGGGCCGCGACCATCGCCTGTAGTCGCCGTTCTAGTTCCAGGTGTGTCCACCTCCTTGAATATGTAGAGGTAGTCTGATAGTGTCTCGACACATTCGGCTACTCTTCAGTCTGAGATCCGCCAGAGTGCATCGGGGGAGGCCCATGTGATGTCGACGATGGAGCTCCCTCTCCACGCCACGCAGGTACTGGTCGAGCCCCTGTTCACCAACAGAAGTCCAAGTCCCGCGGCCCAGTTTGACAGCGCGTCGTTGGTCCTGGCGTTCTCCCATTCCGTGGAGTGCGCGTTGAAGTCTCCCAGGACGAGCACTTGCCGGGGAAGTCGTCGCCTGACGTAGTCGCCAACCCCGTCCAGGAATTCCTCGAATGCTGCGCATCCGCTGTTGGGTGACACGTACACACCCACAACCACCATCCCTGCCCACTCGATCGCGACGTATCCGTTGCCGCGTTCCAGCAGGGTTCCATGGGCGAACGCCCCCGGCGTTGATGTCCAGGTGACAGCAACCATTTTGTCCGTATCTCCGACCCATTCTGGAGTATCCAGAACTCTGTATGGTTCTGCCGCCACCGCTAGGGCGACCGTGCTCTCCCGAATGGTTTGGTAGAGTAGGTCTTGCGCTCGCTTTGATCTTCCCAGGTTGGTCTGGAGGATGCACATTTTCAGTCCCCTAGTGTCGTCACTTCTCTGACTTCCTCCGTGCCAGCTTCTTTGTTCGCAGACGTAGGGTCGCCTTGCTGTGGGGAGCCTTTCCTGTTGCCGCTTGCAGCTGTGGATTCGCGGGTGGCTCCT